TCATCTTTCCTGAAACCCTTTTAGGAATCAGTGAAGAAGCAGCCTGTGCCTGGTAGCCCTTTTTGTTTGTTTTTTCCTTTTTTCTTTTCCCAGTGGTCTCTCTGGTTAGATGATGAGATATACTTTTGTTGGAGGGTCAAGGGGAAACTAGAAGGCTTCTTGGTTTCTGGAATAAGCACAGAGCAAATCCTTCTCTCTGTCTAGAGATGATGATTCTTAAAAACCAAAACGCAACAATTCCCACACACAAACTCCGTAACAAAACAAGAACACCGATGAGGAACCCTGCGCCTGGGAATACATGGGTGTTCTCAGTAGCTGTTTGGGAACTGTGGTCTGTTGGCTGGTCTCTCCTGCTTAAAATGTCTGATTATTTTGTGATCAAGATTGCAACATAGAGGAAATACAGAAAATCAAATTCTGTAACTTTCACCTTGATTTTGCGGAGGAAACTCTCACCCTCTGCGACAAAAATCGCTTACGTCGCTTCTGTGGTGAAATGGTGTCAAGACAAGCGAATGCTTGTGGAAGACATCAGTGATGAAAATCTGTGTAACTGGCTGTGTGGTTTGCTAGATTCCTCCCTCCCTCCCCTTTTACCTAGCTGGAATTATGTTAGTGCGAAGTATTCATTTTGCTTTAGGCATTTTAAATTTTAATTAATTGTCTTTTATTTGGAAATTCTTTCTCCCCGTTGAAAGTAAATTCAAGCGTTCTTTCATGTGTTGCTTAAGTTGCTCAAAAGCCAGGCTGCTGGGATGGTCCTGCCCTCTAAGCAGCTGGGTGTTCCCACCACCGTCTTTCTATGTGCATGCAGCATGCCTGCTTAGAAAGCTATTTTAACTGACAACTAACTTTAAAGAAGAGAAATATCTAAAATCTCAGTTGCATCTTGCTGAGAGGGTTTTTGTCGGGTTTAGCCAGTTGTAAAGCCCCATCTTGAGGCTCTGGTTGCATGAAGTGCTCTGACATGATCTGGAGGCTTGCTGCTTGATGAAAAGAGAAGACCCTCCTTCCATTCTTCTCCTTTCAGAGGCTCTGGTACCCTTGAGATCCTTCTGTGATTTGATTTGACTAGATAACATGAAGGAAAATGACTCATTGATTCCACCGTATCGTGGCCCAGTGTGGAAGCCTACAACCTGGATGTTGGCAGCTTGTAAGAATGGTTGTTCTAGCTCGGTCTAAATGCTTAGTGGACAGATCTGTAGAGAGACAAAAATCACAGGCAGTTGTCTCAGCTTGAGAAATCTTGTTGTAAGACTTCTTGTTTGTGCCTGTCAAATAAGCAAATACAAAGATAAGCATTAATTTTTTTCTCTCTTTTTTTCGTTCTGTGGATGTTCTACTAATCTACGTTTCATTTCTCTCCATTAGTTTAAGCAGTTTTTTCAGGACTACTGGTATATTAAAATACAAATTAAGCAGTTTTGAGATTGTGTATGTGTGTATATATATATATGCACATACATATGAATCTGAAATGTGTAAGTCAGCTAAGAGAAAATCTACACTCCAGGTGGGAAGGACTGAATGCTGTCTATCAATCTCGTGTACCTGTGTCTTAGAAAAGTGTTCGGTGTCAGGCTTTGCTGCTGTTAAATTCAAACAATCATCGATTAGGTAACCAAGATTAAATACTGTTTTAATTACTTCCGTCCTTTGTATGGGGAGTTGTTTTTGCTGTGGTGGTAGACAAGAATAGCTATGAGGTTAACAGCCTGAAATAGCTTTTTGTTATTATTTTGAGTGGTTTTGTTTTTTTTTCTTTAGCTGGAAGTTGTTTAAAATGTCTCTGGTGTTACTGCTGCCAATCCAGATGGCTTTCTGCCTTTGTTTCGGTTCCTAGATGTGATATTGTTAGTCAGTCACTAGTGTCGCCTCGTGTTTTACAATTTGGCCCCTGACTCGCTCTCCCAGCCGCCTTACGTTGGCAACCAGCGTTATTTGCAGTATAAATACTTTTTCTCTCTTGACCCCCGTGATGTCAGCTACTGGTGGAAACTGGGTGCCGACTGTAAAAGACACTTAACCCATTTTCTTGAGGAAGGAAATATTAAGTAAGTGCCTGTGACCAAGAATAGCTTTCCAGAATGCTCACATCGGCGTGATGACTGGTCTTCCCTTTTTAACTGAAAATGGAATTTCCAACACAGACATCAGAATCTTTAAAAGTCCGTGATTATAAACAAGTATCTTACAAGAACTTTGCAAGTTGTGGTGTCTAGGTTGTAGGGTGTGTAACAGCATTTTAGGGTCTTGCTTCTTCTGAACGTGTTAAAATCTTGTTGGTGCACTCAAGCAGTTTCAACAATTGCAAATGTTGTGGAAAAACATCCGAAAGGATGAGAACAGAAGAGATCTTATGCTGGATTAAAATAGAAATTATAAACAAAATTAACTACACAGAACAGATTAATGTTGTCCTTGCTGCTTTACCTATTAAAGCAGTGCTTTGTAATGGTGATACCATTTTAATTTTACCATGATGACCACAGAAAAGAACTGAAAATATATTTCGTGTGTGTCCAAATACGAAAAATCTTTAGTTTTAATGAATTCAAATAATTTTTCTGTGACTGCTGTTGTCAGTTACAACAAAAGTGCAGCCAAGATTCTCTGGGTAGAAATAGTTGGATGGAAGAACATAAATAATATCCCATTTAAATAGTAGTTTTGTTAAAGATTTGCTGATTGGCACTGAGGAACTATGCATTTTTCTCTAAAGTTTTGAAGTAGATGCTGAGTTATTCTAACAGTGTAGTCTGCGCTGCGCGATGAGGTTGAATGTTATTTATTTCCTTTAGACAGTTTAAGAGATCACATACAAATCTAAACTTTCCATACCCGTTGATGAGCAAAGGGATGGATTTGTAAAGATCTGGTAATTAAGATAAAATATTTGCATACTTGATGTGTTATTTTCAGCAGGTCTATGCACCCACGTCCAAGTCCTTTTGATTCTATCTGGTGCAGCGAGGTGGAGTTTTTGGGGAATGAGGAGCTGACAGCGATAAGCTATTAGTCAATAACTCTAATGACAAGAGCTCCCTGATTATTGCTTCTATTGAGAAAAAACATATTTATGTTTTCTGAAAGTTAGAGGGGTTTCGTTTGCCTTTAATGACAATTCTACTATGTTGTTATCTGGTACAAGCGATATACTAAGTGATCCACGTATTTAGTGTGGTAACAAGATGTGTTGCTCTGCCTGCTAGGTCAGTTATTTATTTTATTGCAAGGGAATTCAAAGAGACTTTCTGAAGTACAACTTGCATTTCTGTCATCAGTTAAGGACGATGATGCAGGTGACAAAGAACTGTTTGATTTAAAAGCCTACCAACTTTCAAGTGTTGAATTGCTGTGAAACAGGAGTATCAAGCAAAGCTTGGGTTTAGTAGCTGCTGATGTGACTTTCCCAAACTAAGCTATTTTATAAAGAAAAAAGATAAGCTGGAGAGGGAGTGGAGCGAAACGCCTTTGTTATGATGTAGTTGGTCTCCTGGGGTTTTGTGGTACATTACAAAAAGATTTCCTGCAAGCTTGTTCAGGGGAAAAATAGTAATGAAGTGATTTGGGATTGAAAAGGTGTATTCCTAAAAGCGTATACATTTAACAAATGATAATTGCCTGTAATTCAATGGCAGGGCCAATTCAAGCCTGTACCTGGGTATGCCTTTGTCTGTTCAGCACCTGTAGAAAGGATAATGGTAACGGCTTTTTCTTAGCGCCTTACCAAAAGGGAAAACACTGTGTCAGACAGACTTTTTAGCAGTGTAATCAGCAGCAGTGGCTGGATTTCAGAAGGCTTTTGTGTTTTGGTTTGGTTTTTTGCCAATGAGCTGGTTTGAACCCGCTCTGTGGTGTGTAAGAAGAGCAGCCCAGTGCATCGGTTAAATCTTGCTTTTTCTGCTGGTGCTATAAGAGGGGAAATGCCTTCAGTTCAGCAGAACAGGGCTGATTCCAGAGCAAGGGAAGGAATGGTAAAAGTAGTGGAAAGCTGTAAGAGTAAGGTTTTTTTATGTTTGATTGGTTTTTTACAAATTATGCTTTCTCTCATCTCTTAATGTCCAAGAAGAGTTAGAAAGGTGTAGGGGTGCTTGTCTTCATTGGAGCGGCCCTTTACAAGCGTTTTACAACACTCCTCTTTGCCAGCTGAAGAGCGTTGTCTTGATGAAGTGGAAGGTAAATACTTTAGCGATTAGTGATGGAAGGGAAAACACATCTTTAGGAAGCACTAACCCGAAGTTAAGACTTGGAAGGCCAAAAAAACTAGTGGTAACGTTAAGAGTAAATGAAAATGTTTTGAAATACAGAGGACGAGTGGTCAGGAAGCCGGCATGGGGAGTTGAAGTGCATCACACAAAGGGTTTCTCCCTACCTTGCAGTGGATGTAGTTGGCACAGTGGGATGAATTCATAGATGATCGTTCTTTAAGGGTGAAATAAAATTGAGATAAATGTCTTTAGAGGCAAATGTCACCGTCTAATGGAGTTGAAGATTACTTTCTTGCTATTTAATATAAACTTGCAAGTTGAACGTGTCACTCTGGCCACATTTGTTGACAACTAACAGGAAATGTGCAAAACCAAACTCATGAAATCGGTGATGTGTTTTCTTATTAAGTGTTACCACTCTTCGTCCAAGAAGTCTGATTGTATTTTATGCAGGTAAATAGTTTTAGAGAAAATCTAGAATGGATTTCTAACTTTGCTTTTGCTAGTTTTTAGTTTAGATTTTTCTCTTAGTACTTTGTCTTAATGATATAACCATTGCAATGATAGTGCTTTACCAGGCGAGTGCTTTTGTTACACTAAGTGGAATTAATGAGTAAAACTAAGCTTATGTGTTTGCAGTACTGGCATTTGAGACCGTGGGTTTGCAAGCTGAGCTGCACGAGCAGACTTATGTAAACTTTCCAAAGGCTTTAAAATGTGTGTCTAATTATAGAAGGTTAAGTATACTGAATTCTATTTTTTTTTCATTTTTTTTCCCTCAAGGCCATGTGGTTATGATATTATTGAGATTCCATAATGCCTCCTGCCGTGACAGACAGCCTTGACATCTGGGCAGTGGATTCGCAGATTGGTGCTGATGGCTCAGTCTCTGTGGACTTTCTGTTGCCCACTGGAATCTACATCAACCTGGATGTCCCTCGAGATGCCACCATATCTCATATTAAACAGGTAATACCAAACGGTCAATTAACTTCCAAGTTAACTTGTGTTTGGAACGAGTGCTGTTTCTAATTTTTTTTCTGTGCCTTCTGGCAAATCAAGTAATGAATTTGAGTCGGCATAAAAAAGGATGTATTGGGGGCATGTGCAGAGCAGACTGATTAATAAAGATGTGTATGCGTCTGGGGGTTTGGAGTGGTTTTGGGCAGATGGCAAGATTTGGAGAAATTACTTCTTGCTGATTGTTACACTTCAGCAGAGATGATTCTAATCGCTCTGTATTGCTACATCTGAACCTTATTTATTTTTTATGACACATCAGTAATACATTGTGTATTGATGGAGCATGTCTGTGATTAGTGTGCAAACAGGAGACACTGAGTCTAATTTGATTTTTAATGCAGAAGCCACAGATTTGTGCTCCTGCTCCTTTGATTGACACCAAAGATGGATACTTTAAAAATTCTGTGCCACTTCTCAAAGGCTGTGTGCAAGGGCCTCGCTAGGGCCCCACTTAGAAAGTGAGGGAATACTCACGTCAAAGGAAGGGGAGCAGGTCAGGGAATAATCACAGATATTAGAGAACGATGTACTGATTTTCTTGAGATGCTGGCCAGGCAAGGACATTTAGATGAGACAAGGAATTAAGATGAAAAGAGGAAAAACAGCCAATTGTTTGAGAGCTGAAGAATTTTTCATTCCTGTGGATTTTATAATTCTATCAGGCCAGTACTCTGGATGATGGCAAATGGCTGCTTTTAGTGGAAGCACGTTTCAGGGACTTTACGATTTCTTAAATTTTACAGTTGTTGTGGGATATAAGTGCCAGTAGCTGGAAATTGAAGTTAGACAACTGGGGAGGGAGCGGGGGGAAGGCACAAATTTTTAATCAATGTAGTTGGCTACTACAGAGGAACACAAAGGAAATAATATTTATTCATTTCTCTTTTCTTTTGGGAACATAAATGGAAATTAATGTTACCTTCAATGCCATGAGGCATGTCCATGCTTTCTTGGTTTCATTTATTTATTTTCTTTGCAGCTGTTATGGAAGCAGGCACACACCTACCCACTCTTCCACCTCCTCATGGAGATTGACTCTTACATGTTCTCATGTGTGAACCAGACTGCTGTACACGAAGAGTTAGAAGATGAAACACGGAGACTTTGTGATGTTAGACCCTTTCTTCCTGTCCTTAAACTAGTGACAAGAAATTGTGATCCAGGAGAAAAGTTGGATTCCAAAATAGGTGTCCTTATAGGCAAAGGTAATTACATTTAATTTGAGTTTTTTTGTAAAATGAAGGCAAACTTAATTGGGCAGGTAACCATGGAAAAATTAAAAAAAAAACAACTAAAAATTAAGTATTTTCCTGACAGAATTTCCCTTTCTCAAATTAATACCGATGTAGTTTCAGATATTTCATCTTAAGCATTTAAATCCTTCTAAAGTTGTTGAAAGCTACTTTCTGTGTTGTATTTCAACGCTGTGTTGTATTACAACAGCCATCAGGAGCAAATTTTATCTTAGGAGATGAGAGAAAAATCAATTATACTGGTATAAAGTGAAGGAAAGCATAATCTGTGAAATGTGTTATCATGAATAGCCCAAGAGCCAACTGGATACGCAGAAGGAGCTAGAAATTGTTATGGGTTTGATGTACGTGGTTTCGGAGTTGGTTAACAATATGATGCTTGTTTTTGCTCTCAATCGTGGCACTGATTTCCAGCAAACAATGAAAAGCTATTTTTAAAGGTTTCACAGTAACTTGTTCTTGATGTCATTTCAGAATTTTCAGCTTTTAAATCTACTCTGCTTGGTTATGCAATCAAGATTGACAGGGTCATGTGAGGTCATACCTCTTGTTTTAAAACAATGAACCATTGTTAGCTCTTGTAGAAAGACTGCAGGTTTTGTTTAGATTTCAGCAGTACACTGTCTGCCTATTTGTTAAAGCTGACAATGGACACAGTTAGCCAGTTTAACCATTCTGACAGATTCAGAGAGATTCACGTGCTTTGATGGAATATTTTGCTTATTATAGCTATGGGAGAGCCTTCCCTGCACAGCCCCTCTTCTGTACCTTACCGGTGGAAAAACCGTGTTCCTGTCTAAGCTTCTAAACTTAGTGTCATGTTCTCAGAAGGTGTCAGTGCTTTGCGTAATTCGGACAATGTCAGTCAAAGTTCAGGAGAAAAGAAAGAGTAACACCACTCGAAGGCCCTATACATCCTGAAGTACCAAAGAATGCCAGCTGGGTGGACTCTCCACCACGTATTCGCTCTTTACATATTTTGGAAAAGGAGCTTTACTGGTGTCTGGTCGGATAAAATTTTGGTTCTGTCATTTTGGCTTGAGTAGATTTTAGTTACAAGAAAAAAATGAAGAATAAATTTCTCTACTACAGTCTCAATATCCTTATTTTTCGACTTCTAAACAAAATTAAAACAAAGTCATCTTTCTGTGGGACTTGAAAACAGTTTGCGAACACTTCTTGCCCTTTATGGTCTCTATGACACGTTTTCTGTGCTTTCTTTTCATTTGCTCTTGTGAGAAGAGATTTAAAACTTTCCAGGCTGTCTTGAACTGAGGGTGGGGTTGGATTTTCCATTTAATAGTACCTAGGAGGGGCATTTGTTCTTCTGTGGGAACTAAATTCTCGTGCTGGATTGTGTGGGAATTGTACAGGTACAGGATAACGTAGAACCCACCTCACTTTGAAGCCCCATTTTTGTCCTTCCGACCTTCTGTGGGATTTCGGAAGGAGATGACTTATGTAACCTTAATGTAAAGATAATAAAAGTTTGAGTGGGATGGTAAATGGATGTATTATTTTTACAGGAGATGTATATCCTTTTGTTTGCTTGAATTCTTTCAGGTCTCCACGAGTTTGATGCCTTACAAGATCCTGAAGTGAATGACTTCCGAGCCAAAATGCGGAGACTCAGCGAGGTAAAGATTCAGTCGCTCGTGGGTCTCTCCTGGATGGACTGGTTGAAGCACACTTACCCACCAGAGCAGGAACCTGTTCTCCCCGAGAGCTTCCAGGATAAGCTCTATAGTGGAAATCTTGTAGTGGCTGTTCATTTTGATAACTGCCAGGTAGGAATGGTTGTTCATCACGTTTTGTGTGCTGTTCTTGATCCTGATCTGAATCAGCCTGTGACTGATCATAGAATCCTAGAACAATTCAGGTTGG